TTATTGGTCCAGTTGTGAGAATTTTTGTTTTCTTTATGTTGAGGTGTAATCCATACTGAAGGCTGTAGTCTTTGATCTTCATCAGTAAGTGCTTCAGGAAGTGTGGTCTTTGATCTTCATCAGTAAGTAAGATATTGGTATATATGTGTGTACATATATTTTAGGTGAAAGTTTATAGCGCAAATTAGTTTCACATTCAAAAATGTATACACAAATTGTTTTGTGGCATTGGTTGCAATGCAAATTTATATTTGTATCTCTTATATTTCTCAACATATTCTTCCATTCATGAGTGTTCTTGAGCTGATGATGCCTGATGCCAGGCATCTTAGAATAAAGGCTTTAGAATTGTTGTGGAAAAGTATAGTTTAGCTTTAGCTTATGCTATGGTATAAATTAAGACTTTTAAGTGAAAGTGGCTAGGTTTTAGATGGGCAGGTGTGAATCTAGCCAAGAACAAATTGTTCTGCTGTGATAGAGACATTGTTCAAACCTGCATGCATCTGTCAATTGCCTGTGGTGGCACAGTGAGATAAAGTGATCTGTAATGTATCTCTAGTGTGTTCCTGTTGCTAGCCATATGTAACATATAGTACATCTTTTGTGCAGACGGCTTGTGTGGGCTGGATTCCACCTCAGCCTTGTAAAGATGCCAGGAATCATCAAGGTGAATTTTTAAAGCCTATTTAAATATTTAGACTCATGACTAATTTCAGTGACATCTTTATCATATCTAATAAACTACTTGCTAGAAGTGAGATGAATTTTGAGTTTACTTTTTATAGGTCTGCTACTTATTTGCTAAGTGACCTTGGATGGACAAATTGTTAATCTCTCTGTTCCTGTTTCCTTATCAGGAAGATGATGATTGTAAAAATATTTGTTTGGTAAGGTGGTTGTGTGGATTTAGCCAATTAATATGTGTAAAGTGCATAGAAGAGTGCCTGGCACATAATAAATGTTAACCACCACCACCACCATCACCATCATTAACAAAATTTAGGGTAAGATGAATTTCCCTCCCCTCAAGCTAGATTGTCTTTTTTAGGAAGACCACATCCCTATCAAGGATGTGGTCAACCCCAGTGCTAATATAGTAGCTCACCATCTTGACTTGTAAAATCTATTTCCAAATTTATCTACACCAAAAGTATGATACAGTATTATATAGTCACTAAAAAGAATGAAAAAATTTGTGCCTCTCTGGAATGATCTGCACGATGTACTGTGTTCAGTGAAAAAAGCAAGGGGCAAAACTGTAAATTATTCCACCATCTATATAAAAATTTACTGGTACATGCATAAAATGCCTGGAAGGCTATATGAGAAATGATACATTTTCATTTGTTGCTGTTGAGGAGGGGAATTGAATGGCTGGCAACAAGGATGGCAGACTGTTTACTGTATATATCCTTTTATACTTTTTGATTGTTGAATGTGTGAATGTATTCCCTATTTAATAATAATAATAAAAAATTTAAAAAGTAAAATAGCTATTTTGGAACCTAGAGAAGCTTTTATTCTTCCTTTGTAAACATTTCTTCTTTTTGTCTATATTACTCAAATTAACATTTGATTGAGCTTTATTATTCCTGTTTTCTTTCTAGTTTAGGTTTTTTTTTTTCCTTAGGTCCATGTTTCAACACCAGACTAAGAAAGATATTTTGTCCTTCCTTAGGGATTTGAGTCATAATCGGCTGTCTAATTGGAACATCAGCTTGGAGTCGCAAACATTGCTGGAAGTGTAAGTTACTCTTATTAAATTTATATTCCTTGAGGTATTTGAATGGATTGTGAATTTGGGGTTGTTCAGTCCAGAAATGCTGTCAGGAAATTGAAGGAAAATAATATAAATTAAAAGAAATTATTTATAAAAATGAAGCAGTTAATCCCACTTTAGTGAGTGGCGTCTGGGGTCTTAAAAGCTAGTGAGTGGCCATCTAAGATGCATCAGTTGGTCCCAACTCACCTGGAGCAAAAGAGAATGAAGAACACCAAAGACACAAGGAAAATATTAGCCCAAGAGACAGAGGGCCACATAAACCAGAGACTCCCTGTGCCTGAGACTAGAAGAACTAGATAGTGCCCAGCTGCCACCAATGACTGCCCTGACAGGGAACACAACAGAGAGTCCCTGACGGAGCAGGAACAAAGTGGGGTGCAGAACTCAAATTCTAGTAAAAAGACCAGACTTAATGGTTTGACTGAGACTGGAGGGACCCTGGAAGACATGGCCCCTGGACTCTCGGTTAGCCCAAAACTAAAACCATTCCTGAGGCCAACTCTTCAGACAAAGATTAGACTGGACAGTAAGACATGAAATACTCTTGAAGACTGTGCTTCTTAGCTGAAGTAGATACATGAGACTAAATGGGCAGCTCCTGTCCAGAGGCAAGATGAGAAGGCTGAAAAGGACAGGAGCTAGTTGAATGGACGCAGGAAATCTGGGGTGGGAAGGAGGAGTGTGCTGTCCACAGTATATGGAGAGCAACTGGGGTCACATAACAATGTGTGTATAAATTTTTGTATGAGAAACTAACTTGACTTGTAAACTTTGACTTAAAGCACAATTTAAAAAAAAAATAAAGCTGTTGCCTTTTGCTTTGTTATTATCACAGACTCTCCGGACATTGTGCCACTGGGTTGGTGGTTTCAAGTTGCGAGTTGTATAGGATTATTATTGTACTTTCTTGAGGCCAAAAGTATGTTTTTCCCCCTCTTTAGAGTAAATATGTTTTGTTTGGTTTTTGCCAGTTTCAACCAGTGAAACTCTATTGTGTAAACTTTTTTGTGTGTGTCTTGACGTATTACCTGAGATGAAACCATCATGTCTAAAGTACGTTTATATGAAATACAGTATTTTTGATGTCATTTGAGAATGTGGTAGTTGATATAATTCAGTTTTCTGGTTAGCTGAAGTTTTTTCTTTAATACTGAGATGTATTATTATGTATTTTTGGAGGGAATTTTCTAAAATACTATTAATTCATATTATTAGTATTATTAATACCAGTTACTGCATTGTGATGTTCCCAGGGCACAAATTGAGGTATATAGGACTGTTTACTTCTATGCTAAACACCCCAAGAATGCCCAGATTTATTTTTCTTTTTAACTCATTACCGACAAGGGTAATCTCATAGTTTCTGCATTCTCTCTTCCCCTACCTCAAATTGACTGCTTCTAATCTGCTGTGGACTGAATAAACAATTGATAAGATTTTTAGCTGAAAGAGTATGCGCTGAGGAAAGGCCTGAAAATGCTTCAGTTTGAAGCTCATAGCTTATTGCATGGACTTTGTAACTCTGATTGATTCCTTGGAGGCCTTTTACTTCTGAAGGTTCTTTGATTGAATACCGGGTTAATGAGATGTGATTGTATTAGATTTCTAACAAAACGTTTGAGATAATCTGTTCAAAGGGCTGCTAGGATCAGATGGTTACATGTATATCACGTCACCTGTAAAATTAGTCATAGGTTCCATCTCTGTTTGAGTTATTTATTCCATCTTTGTTTAAGAAGAACCCAAAATAGTTGTTACAAACACAACTATTTAAAGGACTTCACTGGGATTAAAAATATTTAATGTGCAAAATGTTTCCTATTTGTTAAAATCTCTTATTTCTCAGTATAATGCATTTTTATCTTTGTCTAACTCATTCTGAGTCATAGGCATTTTCAATTTGGCACCTGTCCTAAATATTTATTAGCCAGAAATCAGAACTCAGGATTTCCCTTGCTAAACTTTTAAATCTATTTTTCCCCATGCCTAGGAAAATGAATTACAATGAGTTAACAGAAATTCCGTATTTTGGAGAACCAGCCTCTAATATTACTCTACTCTCATTGTAAGTAAATAAGATTTTGGATCTTTTACATAAATTATAAATAGTATAGGGTGTTTTCTTTGTTTTTTTTTAAGTACCCATATTGTTGATCCTAATCATTTAACTTTTTTTTGGCCTGGGGTAGATCGCTGGCAATAGTTTCAATGTAATCTTTATTTTGTAGAGTACATAATATAATTCCAGAAATAAATGCAGAAATGCTCCAGTTTTACCCTGCTCTTGAGAGTTTAGATCTCAGCTCAAACATAATATCAGAAATCAAGACATCTTCATTTCCTCGCATGCAACTTAAATACCTGTAAGTAAAATAGAGTTTAAATCAGATTTACTTTAAAATTCATGGTTATTATTCATTAAGATCTGTCTTCCCAGAAATGTCTATAATTTATTGTAATTTTAACATGCGTATCTGAACGGGTCAGTTTTTTTTGGTTTTTGTTTTCTTTTTTAATTTAAGGAGTGCATTAATTTTCATAAACTATTCATAGATATCCAGGGTAATTTTTGGCATTTAATTCTGGATTATTTTTTATTAAAATTCTGGAAAAGATAAATAGTGATTTGTTAGTGATGATGATAATTAGCATGTATGCCAGTGTTTTACAGTTTATAAATATATATGTTTGTATTCACACATACTGTTTCATAATAACCCAAATGAAGTAGATGTTATCCTTATTTTTGAAGATAAAGAAACAGAGTGGTTAAGTAATTTGTAAAGCTGCATATAGGTGGTAAGTGGTACAGCTGGGACTTAGTAATGAGCTTTGGACAGTTTTCCAGTGGTAGAATTTGTTTACTAAATCCTGTTGTTGTTGTCTTGCTCATTTTAGGAATTTGAGTAATAATAGGATAGCCACGTTGGAGGCTGGTTGCTTCGATAATTTATCGAGTTCCTTATTAGTGGTAAAGTTAAACCGGAACAGAATTAGCATGATTCCACCCAAGATCTTCAAGCTGCCTCATCTCCAATTCTTGTGAGTAACTAAATAGAAAAATTATAAAAACATAGTTTTTCTTACATTGTCTTTTTTGTTTCAATTATTGTTTGAGCAAGTCAGCAAACCAATTTTCTGACTGTAGAACTATTTTCGTTAAAGGGAACTTAAAAGAAACAGAATTAAAACTGTGGAAGGTCTAACATTCCAAGGGCTTGACTCCTTAAGATCTTTGAAAATGCAGCGGAATGGAATTAGCAAACTTAAGGATGGAGCCTTTTTTGGCTTGGATAACATGGAAGAACTGTAAGTAGTAGGAACTAGAGTTGGGGATTATTAGGAAGGGAGTCTGATAGACTTCCCAGTGCCAAACAAGTAGGGTAGTTGCTTTAATTGTACAAAGATATATTAGTTCATTCTTCATTTTCTGATGTGAAATAAGTGCACAAAAAAGCCTTCTGATGTATATTAGCAAAGTAGTATTTTGTCATTTTTACAAACATCTCATCTAAAAAGTTTGCATTCCCTTGATGTTTTGGCTGATGAAAATTATCAAAGTTTATTCAGAACAGGTATACAATACCTTTGGCATGTTGATTTTGTAGACCTGATATTTTAGACAGTCTTATTACCTTTTAGCTCTGAATCTTAAGTAAGATATAAATATTTATTGAATAGAATTTGTCAGTTCACTTGAGTTGAACAAAGCCATGTGATTTTCTAAGCAAGACTTAATGAAAATTTAAGACTGTACTTCTCATCAGAATGCCTTATTGTGAAACATATTTTCTCTTGTCTTTAATTCTGCAGAGAACTGGAACATAATAACCTTACAGAAGTGAACAAGGGGTGGTTGTATGGCTTGCGAATGTTACAACAGCTCTATGTGAGCCAGAATGCTATTGAAAGAATCAGCCCTGATGCATGGGAGTTCTGCCAAAGACTATCTGAACTGTAAGTGTTGGATGGCGTTTTAGTGGAGGCTGTGGGACTCGAGCAGGTTGGAATAAATCATGAAAAGTCAAGTGTCCCTGTTTACTGGAAGTTTGTTGAAAGCTCTAAATTTGCCATATACCTAGAATAAGAATTTGAAAGTTGAACCAAAATACAATGAATTCCTTACCTTCCATTTTTCCTGTTGTTAGCGATTTGTCCTATAACCAGTTGACTCGCCTGGATGAATCTGCCTTTGTGGGTCTGAGCTTACTGGAGAGATTGAATTTAGGGGACAACAGAGTCACTCATGTTGCTGATGGTGTGTTTAGGTTTCTTTCCAATCTTCAGACACTGTAAGTACACCTACCCCTCGCCTTTCCTCCCCCCCCCCCTTTTTTATAATCTTTTTTAAGTAATAAAGCAAATTAACAAACAAATAATCAGCGAATTTATGTGTTCTTAGTATTTTGTGGCTCTTCTGTCCTATGCCTTGGGGCAAGACAATCTTATTTGTCTCTATCCCCATAAAAGATCTTATTTATCTCTAGCCCCTAGTACCGCCATGACTCATGGTGACCGCACATGTGTCAGCATAGAACTGTGCTCCACAGAGTTTTTAATGACTGATTTTTTTGGAATTAGATTGCCAGGCCTTTCTTCTGAGGTGCCTCTGGGTGGTTAACAGCTGAGCTCATTAACTATTTGTACTCTCCATGTACCCCTTAGCCCATAGTAGAGTACTTCAGTTCTTAGTTAATCAACTAAAAAAGCATCTCTTAACTGCTCAGTGCTGTAGAATAAAACACATTTGCTAGTGTCAAGAATGCACAGTCATTTTCTTGTTCCTCTGACATGACAGTGCACCATGACTACTAGATCTCATTCAGAAGGGGACACAGGGTGTGTAGTGGGAACAGCTGTGGCAGGAGACCTACCTGCTCACTGTTAGATTTTGCTGCATGACTGGACAGAAGGAAAAAACTCACATTTATTATCTAATATGTGGTAGATGCTTTCAGATACTTAGACATTCGAATTTTTTCGTGCTTTTCCGTTAGGAAGCTGAAATTTAGAGAGATTAAAATAATCAAAGTCACATGGCTTGTAAATGATCGAGCCAGGATTAAAACCAAGGCTCATATACTTTTTACCACACCACTTAATGAACAAAATTGCCTAGTCTTTCCTGGGCATCATTTTCTTTGTTTATTTGTCAGATGAAGGAAGGACATAGAATTAGATATCTGCTAAAGACCATTCCAGCTCTAAAATTCTGTGGTTCTGTAAGTTGAGTGTTTTACCCTGATCCATGGCATATAATTTTATTGAATGAAGGGATATTTTAATGAAATATAATAATCTCAAACATAGAGCATAATAAGAGAGAACAAAGAGTAGAATGTATAGATTCTGTAAGTTCCTAAATAGGGGACTTTGTGATTATTAGATTCAGAATTGATAAATGATCTCAGGAAAGAGACAGGCTTCCAAATTTGGGACCTAACCATTAATGAGAAAAAAAGTGTGATAATTTCATGAAGGTGTCTATACATGTATAAGTATGTGTTTACTTTTTTTTTTTTTTTTAACAACTTAACTAGGTCGTCTTTCTTTAGATTTGGCCTCAAAAAATTAAAAATGATTTTTCTACATTATCGGAGGTGAAACTAGATCACTACAAACTCAGGACCTTTTGGCAGTTCAGGGGCAAGCAACTGGGGGACATTAGGTAGTAATAAACTTAGCCAGGCTTTCAGTATACCACTGATGGTTACTTTTTAGTATTAAAGTTTAGTGAAGTAATTTTAGAAGTAAACAATTGTCTAATGTCACAGAGATGGTTAAGGCAGAATTAGGAGCATATCTTAGAAATTATGGCTTTAGGCCAGTGCTCTTGGCAGAGTAGATATACCTCTTACTCAGTTTGGGGAGTGAATTCTATTTATGTTGTGTTGTAGTGGAGGGGTGTAAGTCCTGAAGAGTTGAGCCATTGGTTGTTTCATTGTTTATCCCTTAGAAAAATAAAATGAGCTTTCTTAGCTTTTCACTTCAATTAAAGATAGCTAAGAAGAATGCTCTCCTGTCTCCTTACTGCTAATTACACGAATTTACATATATCTTATAAAGCAAAGAGCTTTGTGCTTTATTTTATTATGAGAAGGCTTAAGGAAACAAAAGTGATTAGATATTTTTAGCTGGCATTTCTTCCATCAGCACGTGGTGTGGTGCAACTGCATTTTCTCTGGGAATGGAACAGTAGATTTTAAAAGCTCCATACTTTTATAGAAAACATAGTAATCACTCTAACACATGGGTATATCATTCTTGCTTCCCAGGGGGCATGTTTAATTGCTCTGGAGCTGTGAAGCTCTGTATTGATATTACCCTGTGAGCCCTTTGAAGTTTAAGAGCCCAGGGGAAGGCTTGGGTCACCCCGAAATCCCATTAGTCTGAAATCAGATTTGTAAGCCATATCCCCTGTATCTTGAAATGCTCTTGCCTAATGTAGGACCCTGTCTGTAATCTTTAAATATGCTAACACAATTAGGGGCTGTTTGCTAGGAAGGTTAATACTCTTACCAGGTTGCTTAATTTATTTATCAAGGCCAGCTTAATTCTGGAATCTCTTAGCTTATGAGAATCAGTTCTTATGTGTTTCTCTTTCAGGTGTTCACAAATATTCCTTAAAAATCAGAATTGAGTCTTCATCATAAATAGATAGGTTATGAATAACATAACTGTTAAAACGCAGATCAAAATGAGCATGTGCACCTTGACATAGCCATGCTGGGATACTGCCTGATGGATGGTGTGATGGCTATGTTGGCTCATGTGATCTTTTCTTTCCCTGACATGTTTACAGAGACTTAAGAAACAATGAAATTTCATGGGCCATAGAAGATGCTAGTGAAGCCTTTGCTGGACTCACAGGTCTCACTAAATTGTATGTATTTATAATATATATGCGTGTCTGTAAAGGTGTATTTTTTAGATCAATTGTAAATATGATTGGATTATGTCTGTTCGATATGGCCAGAAGGTCTGAGCTTTCTGACCCACTCACTTAAAGGAGGAACCTTTGTTGTTTATCACGTTGGTGTTTTTTTTGGGGGGAGGGGGCTGCCTTTTGGTTGAAGGAGCATTCCTGTGGGCACGTAGAAGTTACTTAAGGAACTAGAACATCTACTCAAGTAAAAGAAAAGCACTGTGAAGCCAGAGTTGAACTGGTAATCTGTGTAATTATGTGAGGTTTATGGGTAATTTGTCTAGCAGGAGAGGATTCTTTCAAGTAAGATTTTAGATCCTCTCCTGTAAGAAGAATTTCTCCAGGGGTTCACACTTGTCTGAATTTCTCTGGCCTGATGATCTTTTGCTAAGAACGGAGAAACTGGGAATATAATTCACTTTGGCATATGAAAACTACCCATTTATTAATGGCCAGGATGGTCGTTCAGAGGTACCTCATTGAGCCCCAACATTTAATAGACGCCTTCATATTGTGTTTTATGTTGGTTAATAATAAAGGTTCGTAACTTTCTTAAAAATGTATGTTGTTTATTTTCACCTTCTATAGGTAAATGTTTAATGAATTTAATTTCGTTTACTGGAGAACTTTATTAGAAAGGTTTGTTTGTATTTCAGAATCTTACAAGGAAACCAAATTAAGTCAATTACAAAGAAAGCATTCACTGGTCTTGGATCCCTTGAACATCTGTAAGTATTTTGCATACATTTTGCTCACTATATAAATAATCTTTGCTATAAGCAGAGGTTTTTGCGACCACTTAAAATGTTTATATAACTTAATTGTAGACGTGGTAACTGGCAATGTTTCATTTCTCTTCATTTCAGAGATTTAAACAACAATGCTATAATGTCTATTCAAGAAAATGCTTTTTCTCAGACTCACTTAAAAGAACTGTAAGTAACTTAAGTCTTTTTTGTCACCAATTAGATCATTATCTGTGCTTGTTATGCTTAAAATGTAATGAGCATGACCCAGATGTTTTCAAAAGTACACAATTCAGGCAAGGAAAAAAGAGAGCATTAATACTCAGTTATTTTAGTGGCTGGATGAAGTGTGAAAATGACCCAACATTAAAAAATCCCAGAGTGTGTGGCACTAGGACCTTCTGTTTGCCTGTGCTGCTGATGCTTGTGGTTAGGAGGCCTTGGCAGCATTCTTGTGCATTATGTACACCCTATGCAAGGATGTTGCTATCAACTTCACTATAAAAGGGTCAAGGTGGGCAAACCCCACCTTTATCACTAACCATGTGGCAAGGGTCAGCATGAATTGCGTTCCCATCTGGAAATGGATCCAGGCCTTAACCTTCCCACATCTCCATACCTTGTCACCAGCCACTTTTGCGGCAGTTCCTCCCGCTGTCTCTGATCTTCTAGTTCCCTGGGACTAGGTCACAAGCTAGAAGGACTGTATCCTCCTTCATCCACTGCCTGTGCAGCCTTTTTCTATCACCCAGCCACCCAGACCCGAGTCTACACAAATCAACTCTGTGTTGCCAGACCCTGCTGGTTCATTGCCCCTGTGGGTTTAATTCTCTGTAACAGCTCACAGAATTCACGGAGACTGTGATCTATACTAAGGAGGCCTGGTGGCATAGTGGTTAAGCACTTGGCTGCTAACTAAAAGGTTAGTGGTTTGAACGAACTAGTTGCTCCACAGGAGAAAGATATGGCAGTCTGCTACTGTAAAGGTTTACAGCCTTGGAAACCTTATGGGGCAGTTCTGCTCTGTCCTGTAGGGTTGCTGTGAGTCAAAATTGACTTGACAGTGGGTTTATGACCTATAATTAAAGTTACCCATTTATTATAACCAGAAAGGATACAACCGAAGAGACGGATCAGGCAAGGTCTAGGAGATTTCCTGGCAGGGGACCTCTATTGTCCCCAGGGATGTGCCACTCTGTCCAGTGCATGGATGTCCTCACCAATCCCAGAAGCCCCAAAAAGAGAGCTGCAAGGTCCAGAGTCCCTAGTCATTGGGAACTCAATGAATATGCGTGACTAGTACTTATGGCAAAGTTATGATTGATCCAGTCAGTGAATATGTGTAACTGACTGCATCGTGCCCCCTCTCTTCCTGAAGTTAGTTCGCCAGGTATGGGGCCTGTGTAGCCCCTACTTGCCTGGCTACTTTAGAAGGACAAGGAGCATCTTAATGGCTCAGGCTGTTTCTGAAAACAGATACAAAAGGCCAAATCTAATTTTTTGTCCCACATCCTATTGTTCGTTTACTTTTTCTCCTTGTTTCTTTTTGGACTATCAGAATCATGTGTTTCCAAAAGCTCACTCCTAGTGGGTTACAATTAAGATACTATGTGATTTTATTCATGAGTTTCTGAGATGATCAGGTATTTCCAGTATAACGATTTGAGATGATGTCTCTAGTCTCTTGTTCAGACTACCAAAATGCTCAAAAACTGTTAAATAGTTGTATTGGTCTGCAACAGATTGGAAATTTTAAAAACTGGTCCTTTATCACAGATAGTTTGAGAGGCACTGGAAAAGTGTGAGTTCAGACTGCCTGGATTCAAATCCTTGCTCCATTCCTTAAAACTGGGACATTGGACAAATTGTTTAGTTTAGTTCCCCTTCTCAAAATGAAGTTAATACCTTAGCACCTACCTTAGGGTGATGTGAGGATAAAATGAAATTATTCAACAAATATTTCTTGACTCATGTATAATGTAGGGTACTGTTGTAGATGCTGAAAACACAACATACAACAGTGAATAAGACAAAGTCTCTGTTCCCCTAGCATACTCTAACAAATTCTAGTCAGGAAGATAAATAAATTAGGAGATGTGTAATATCCCATCAGACAGTAAGTGCTCTGAAGAAACATGAAGCTAGGTCAAATGTATGGAGAGTGACCAAAAAAACTCCCAAACCAAATCCACTGCTGTCGAGTTGATTCTGACACGTAGCGACCCCACAAGGTTTCCAAGGCTGTAAGTCTTTACAGAGGCAGACTGCCACATCTTTCTCCCACCGAGCTGCTGATGATTTCAAATGGCTGACCTTTTGGTTCGCAGTCGAACGCTTTAACCGCTGCATCACCAGGGCTTCCTATGGAGAGTGACAGGGGCTGCTATTTTAGTTAAGGTAGTCAGGGGAGGCTCTCCTGAAAATAAAGCATTTAAGCCAGGACTTAATGAAATGGAGCAAACCATGTGAATATGGGCGAAGGGCATTCCAGCAGAGGGAAGAGCAAGTGAAAAGGCCCGAGGTAGGAGCTTGCTTGTTGTGCTTGAGGAACAGGAAAGACACAGGTGTGGCTGGAACATGTGAGCAAGGGGAGGAGTGGTAGGAGAGGCCAGAGAGGTAAGCAGGAGCCAGATCATGTAGGGCCTAGTAGGCCATGAGGAGTTGGGATTTTTTTTTCCTCTCTAAATGCATTAGGAAAACCTTGGAAGGTTTTGAGAAAATGATCAGCACAGAGCCTGGCACATAGTAAAAGTTGAATAACTAGCATTAGTAACAAAAATAAAAATGACAATCATGCTTAATTATTTTCTGCCAGATTTTTAAAGTGGCCTTCTTTTGGTCTGTTGTAATGTTTTGAGTTACTTCTGGGCTTAGTTCTAACTTGTAGGGTCACAACTTAACTGGAAATCAGTATTACCTTTTTTGGCTAGTGATAATCTAAGGGCCAGCAAGAATGTGTTTTAACTCTTGTTATAAGAACCAAGTTTTAAAATACAATTTAGGAAGTAGGTGAAAGTAAATAATGTCGTTTCATTTTTCAGAGTCATTTAGTAACTTGGGAGTTGATTTGAACAAACTCCTAATACAGGCATTCTAACGCAGTTTTTTTAACTGAAAAGTTTTAGTTGCTTTTGATTATATTTTAAATATAAGTTATATTTATAGTACTTCAGCTAACATTTATTAAACTCTCTCTTTATACTTCTTGGTATCTCTCACAGTGCTTTGCATAAATATTGGTGGGGGGGTTGGTAGGAGAGTTGCATATAATTTTTAAAATATTATATATTGCAAACTATACAGTCATGGTAGAAATATTAGAAAATAAACTAGGTCAGGGTGGGGGGAGACCTCAAATCCCCGTTTTTCAGAGACAACCACTATTAATATTTTGGTGTATATATATATATATATATATATATATACATACACTGGTTGAAAGAATGCAGTGTATTCCATTAGACACTTGTGGGTAGAGTTGGTTAGCGTGTGAAGGATGGAAAGATGCAAAGAAATGCAAAGTGGAGGGAGCTAACATGAATTAAGTGTTGTCTACGGCCAGGCACTGTGCTAAATGCTTTATTTAAACTTTTTTTTTTCTGAGGTAGGCATTCTCAATTCCATTTTCCAGAAATGGAAACTGAGATTTTGGAGACATACAGTATCTTGCCTAAGGTAAGTAGTGGAGTTAGGATATGAACCAGGACCCTTCCGTTAAGTAGCTTATACCTAAGAAAGCGTAAATCAGACCATGTCATTCCTCTGTTCTTAACCTTCCATTGGCCTCCATTAAGCTTAGGAAAAAAGAAACTAAATTTTTTTCCTTAGTTTATAAGGTGCCTACATGGCCTGATCCTTCCTGCCCAGCTCCCTGACCTTGTTCCTGTCACTTATCCCCCACTCGCTGTACTCTAGCCTCACTGGCCTCCTTGCTTTTCGTCCAGCACACTAAGCTCGTCTGCCTCAAGGCCTTTATGATGCAGTTTCCCCTCCTGGGCATTCTTACTCAAGCCCCTTCGCATGATTTTCTCTCTCATTTCTTTGGGTCTCTGCCCAACTCTCATCTCTTCAAAGAGAACTTCCCTGACCACCAGCTGCTCTCTCTCTCTGTCTTTGCTAGCATTTATTTTTCTTCATAGCATTTGCCACTTTCTGACATATTTTGTATTTATTTGTTTATTGCTTGGCTCTGAATGTGTAAGCTCTGTGAGGGTTGTATCCTCACAGCCTAGAACAGTGCCTGGCATAAAGTAAGGTCTCAAATATTTCTGTATGAATGAATGAAAATAGCATAAGAATTCTTGAACGCAAAGGGTAACTTTTGGGTTGTTTAATTAAAATTACTCTTGACAAAATATGGCTTTTGAGGAACCTTTAAGACTGTTTAAGACTTTTTTGAAGTCAGATCTTAGATACTTTATACCAAGCTTTAAAGCTTGATGAGGCTTTTGATGATACATACAGTGCAAGTCATAATGGTCTCAAAGTCATTTGCTTTCCCTGCTTCCAAGTGGATGGGACAGTTAATGGATCATTAAGAGACAATACCAATTTTTCAGATGTGTTTCATATGCCTTTATAGACCACAGTACTTTTTCAGTGGTTGTTAATTTAAGTTGCAGTACATGTTGCCATAGGGCTGAAGTATTTTCAGTCTTGATGAAATAATTTGAAAATATTTGGTTCTTCTCCACAACAAAGATATCACAGCCACGTTTTAATATATACATACGGTAAGTTTTACCCTAGACTTTTCTGGGGAAAATCTTAAACCGGAAAAATTGAAAGGAAGGTACAATTAACATCCATCTACACCCACTCGTCACTTATCAAAATGGTTAGTTTCCAAAGACCAGGTCGTTATGCGAAAATCGTCATTATACAAAAATAGAGGATTTTCTTTTCTGTTTTCAGACCATCCATTTGTCTTGTTTTTTTTTAATTCGGAAATTATGATCATAGAAGTAATAACAGCTAGGATTTACTGATGTGCTCATCACTGTGACAAGTTCAGTTCAGTTATGGATTATTCCTCTGTGGAGAAAGGAGGCTTGGAGGAGACAAAGCTGGATAAAGCTGGGCTGTGTGACTAGAGGGCTCACAGCTTAACTACTTCACCTTCCTCCTGTGCTGGGTCAGAGCTTCCCTTGTGAAACCACCTCCAGGGCTCCACTCCCACCCCTGTAATCGCTGTGTTCACGATCCTGAAGCCTGCTCTGCCCTCCAGGCCTGACAAGTCACTGAGAGTTGGGACTTCCTGTGAAGGCACTGGGAGCCTGGCCTCACACCATCCCCATGGAGGTGGAGGCTTCAGGCTCAGTTCAGCTCATTTTAGGATACCCTTAAACTCACACACATTTCTTCCAAACACCCTCTCCAATGCCTCTTTCTTCCCTTCCCACCCCACAGCAATTTTGAGCTGCATGGCCTCTGGCTGCATAGGAGCTGGGAATCCAGAACAGGCGCCTGCTGGCTTGGTGCTGCCTGTGCGTGTTCCCGGAGGCTGTGGCCACGGAGGAGGCTAGCCCTGTGTGGCAGCTGGACATGGCACCCCTGCCAGCAGGAGGGAACTGAGGGTGCAGGCAGTGCTGCCCGGTTTCCAGGAGGGTGCCCGGAGACCTTCTTTGAGGGAGGGGAAACTGCAGCAGTTGCCACCGTGCCCACCACCTCGTTAATGTGCAAAATAGTTGATAGTAGATTTTTCACTAATGTCATAAGTGCGAAATGTTGGATAACAAGATAGGCGATAAGTGAGGATTAGGTGTACTCTCTACCTAGATTCACCAGTTATTAACGTTTTATGAAATTTGTTACCTTTGTTCCTCCCTCCATTCATCCCTCCATCCTTCACTCCCTTTTTCTTTCTACATAAACAAGTATGTATATACATACTATTTTTTTGCTGAACCATTTAAAAGTGAGTTGCAGACATCATGACACTTTGTTCCTAAATATCTCAGCATGTATTTACCAAGAATGAGGACATTTTCCTACATAGCCACAATACTATTATCACACCCAAGGATACTAACATTGGTTAAATATTACTATCTAATATACAGTCCATATTCAAATTCTTCCTATGTCAACAAATGTCCTTTGTAACTATTTTTACCTTCAGTCTAGGATCCAGTCAAGGGGTCACACACTGCATTTGGTTGTAATGACTCTTATAGGCTCCTTTAATCGGAAACAGGGGTCCTGCCCTTGCCCCCTCGTTTTTAGTGTTCTTCATGACATTGACATATTTGAAGAATTGAAACTAACCATATGAATTCCTTTTTCATCATCAGATTCAGGTTAAACATTTTTGGCAAGAAAAATGCATAGGTAAGCTTTTAATGCTGAAGAAACTTAGAATGAAGAGTAAAACAAGGGACGCTTCTTTTCCTCCTTGTTTCTGCAGGATTCTGAACACAAGCAGTTTGCTCTGTGACTGCCATTTGAAGTGGTTACTTCAATGGTTGGTTGATAGTAACTTTCAGCATTCTGTGAATGTGAGCTGTGCACACCCTGAGTGGCTAGCAGGGAAAAGCATCCTGAATGTGGATCTGAAGGATTTTGTCTGTGGTTTGTATTTTTGTTTTAAAATTTTATATATTACACACTTAACTATTTTAACAGCAGAATTTAAAAAAAAAAACAAAAACCAGAATACTTTCCCACTAGCATATCTATGTCCATTTGTCTGTCATCTTCTCCAGCCTGTGTTTCAATGCATTAGCATTTTTATATAGTTGTAATAATGTAATTTTATATTCTGCTGTTTGACTTAACATATCATTTTTTTTTCCTGTGTGCATTCTTTAACTGTCATTTTTAATGGCAGTGTAGTAACATCTTTATGAATGTAGGCCTTTTCCTTTTAGGGGGATTGTGAGCCTTAGAATAAATATCCAGTAGTAAGATTTCTGAATCAAAAAGCATGGATTTTTTTTTTTTAAATATGAACATTTTTAATTAATCTTAAAAAGTGCTACCAGGTATTTTCCAAAAAGATAACACCAGTTTCTGTTGTGTTAGCAATGTATAAATGGATTGATTTTGTGTGTTTTATGTTTTTAATGTAGTTTCTTAAAATTAAAGTGGCAGGAGTTTTTTTTTTGGTGGGAGGAGGGAGAGTCACAGGCAGGTGCTTACTTACAACTTCAAGTATACATCTGTATTGTTCTTTGTCAACTTGGAAAATTTTCCTTTACACTTAAATTTCCTTTAAAGTAGAATATCTGATTCGTAGTGTTACATAGTAGAACTTGTAACTCAGCGTATCTGTGTTGCATATCACTAGTCACTCTGGTCATTTGAGTACCTGTCTGTTGCTAGATCTACTTAAAGATGTGTAGAACACTTGAAAATTCAGGCCCACAAAATACTTGTTGTTATGTTGTTTTTATAAATTTTAAAGAAGAACACAATGATCTAATAAAGAATAAGTACTGCTTACATTGCCATGAGTTCCTTTCTGACTTGGCATAGTTTTAAATGTAAACATACTATATACTCCCCTCCCCCCACTTTTCCAGTTTCACTTTTATGGCACAGTGAAATGTTATCCAGTGAAGATATTGGGTGGAATTCAAATACCTGTTTCTTGAATTAGTTCAGTAACATACTTATCATTATTTGTGAATCTATAGTTTATTAGCGAGTCCTAAGACAATCATCGGTTGAACATTTGACATGTTTGGAATTTTTCACTGTTTTAGATGAAAGCTGTGCACATACAAAGTACTTTCAAATCACTTGTTTTATTAATATTCCCTATATTATAAGTTATAATCCCCGTTTTCTGTATTGGCACAGAAAGGATAATGATTATTATATACATGTTTATCTGTGTATCACACATATACGTATATGCAGGGGTAATGGGATTAGAACTTGTCTCAAAATTCTAATATAGGATTTCCCTTTTTTCGCAGTAACTGGTAATGCCTAAGAAGTACACTCTAAGCACACAAGTAATAGTAAAGGATAGTGGAAAGAGTGCTGGGCTCTGAAGTCAGGAACCCGGGCTCTTGTCCAGGCCCTGCCACTGACTTATATGTCTTCACACAAGTCATTTGACCCATCTGGGCCTCATTTTCCTCATCTTTAAACAAGGGAATTGCACTCTAGCTCTGTAGTCTCTTTGAACCTTAATATGCTGCTTTTGTAAACAGACTACACAGTTTTACATCATTGTTTTAAAACTGAATCTTTAGAAGCAAAAGTAAATAAATGACTTGGCCATTGCTGCATTTTGTTTCCTTAGATGATTTTCTGAAGCCACAGATCAGGACACATCCTGAAACCACGATTGCTTTGAGAGGCATGAACGTGACTGTGATATGCACGGCAGTGAGCAGCAGTGATTCACCCATGTCTACTGTGTGGCGCAAAGACAGTGAAATCTTGTATGATGCAGATATAGAGAATTTTGTTCGTTATCAGCAGCAAGCTGGAGAAGCTCTAGAGTATACTAGTGTCTTACATCTTTTCAATGTGAATTTCACAGATGAAGGAAAATATCAGTGTATTGTTACTAATCATTTCGGTTCCAATTATTCTCAGAAAGCCAAACTGACCGTGAATGGTAAGGAATTATGCTTTCTGATATTTGCATAGCGTTTAGAAGGACTTTTTTTCATGTTCAATTTTTGAATCACATGATCAAGAAATTTAGGCTGCACCTTACACTTGTGGAGAGGGGGCCTTACTGTTTTTTTTTTAGGGTTGTGATAGTGTATAGAGTAGGTGGGTTCTTTGCAGTAGCCAGTCTGCCCACTTAATTGCCCCAACTGGTCTTTCGTTGAGAGGTAAAAGTGAATTCTGTGACCCTAGGAGATGGACTACTTTTATTGCTGTTTATACTTCTGAAAAAATTCTCTTGAAATTCTCCATTTTTTCTCCAGAGCCTTAATTCTGATCTGAAAACTCTGAAATTTATTCATGGCCATCTTCACAGGGCCTTTGAATAACTGGGAGTATTCAGGACAATTCTGGGTCCAGTGATCATGATCATTGTCTAAATGTGGTCATGCAGAATCATTTTTTTAAATTAATGCTCTTCTTCACTGGCTGCAGATAACTTCTCTAAAGCTTAATTTATCTATTGCCTACTAGATTGAATAACTGCGGAATTTTTTTTACCCTCTAAGGAAGGTTTTGTGCAACCAAAAGATGTACTTGTTGTGTGTTGCTTTATGAGATTTTTGAAGGTATAATTTTTTTTTTTTTTAAATCGTGGTTGCGTTGGCAGTTTTATAGATGTTAGCTTGGAGAGCACCATGTAGCCTTATAAGTAAGAGAGTCATAGTAAATATCAGGTTCTAAAATGTGGAGTTCGGAAAGGTTTGTGGCCTTCTGCTTTCCCTGTTCCCATCAGGGAGATCAGGTAGGTGTGTCATGCATCCTAGAAGATGCTGTGTCATCAGTATGCTCTAAAAACTCTGAGGTTCTTGAGAAGAAAAGATGACCTTTAAAGCTGTATTCACTATCAATTCAGACAGCATGTCTTCTGAAGGAAATAGAGCATTAGAACAGTTGGTATTTTGCCTACCAGATTCTCCTGTGTGTGTATGTGTATGTATATATGTGTATACACGTGCACACGCACTCTTTCTCTCGGTGATCTTTTTTGTCACAGAGATGCCATCTTTTCTGAAAACTCCAATGGATTTAACCATTCGCACTGGTGCCATGGCCAGGTTAGAATGTGCCGCAGAAGGACACCCTGCACCTCAGATTTCTTGGCAGAAAGATGGTGGTACTGACTTTCCTGCAGCTCGAGAAAGACGTATGCATGTCATGCCCGAGGATGATGTCTTCTTCATTGCGAACGTGAAAATAGAAGACATGGGAATCTATAGCTGCATGGCACAGAATATCGCAGGAGGCCTCTCAGCAAATGCCTCCCTAACAGTGTTAGGTAAGTTTACTACTCCATGGGTCCTTGGTTTTTTAGGAACCTTTTTGTTTGGAATCTACTCTTCATTTTAATGGGCAAGAAAAGTCTAAGTTTGAGATTTCAAAATTTTATTCAGACAGAGAGGTCAAGAGATTGTGATTCTTTTATCTTTGTCACATTTTTCAGCCAAGGATGTTAGTGGGAAAATGCTGAGGGCAGAATTAGGGGTGTTTGTCATATGAATTGAAAATCCCCTTATCAGTTTATCTTCTTACATCTCCCTCTCTAAGGTTTCTACTTTAGATACATGTTTTGTCTATATTCAGTGAGTTTGCACTGAGAGTTCTACTCTTTTTCTTAGAAGTATTCCAGCCTTTTGATACTGTGTCACAGAGAGCCCGAGACAATATAATGGCTCCCCTTCTGTACTTTTTTTTTTAACTTAATTAAAAATAATGATCTGTTTTCCTGGTTAGATTTCCTGTTTGCCTTCCAGTGTGCTCTCCTTAATCCTGTGCTCTTATAAAGTATCTTTTCTCTAAAAATGTCCCCTGACTAACCTGTTTTTTCTTATGGGATTTTCTTCATGAAACTCAAATCCAAGGCAAACTTTACGTTCCAGTTCTCTGTGTCCCTAGATAATAGGGTTTTGTTTGTTTGTTTTACTTTTATAATCAGAAAAATAAGTTGTTTATTGTTTTAAAAATTTAAGATATACAGAAAACTAGAAAAAGGAGGGAAAGTCATTCAAACACTGTTAAAAGATTTTGGCATATTTACTCTAGCCTTTTTTTAAATTCATTTTTATGTGGATTATGTATACCTATTTTTTTCCACTTAATATAATATCACAAGGGTTACTCTGTCATAGAAAGGTCTTCATAAAACATCATGTGGCTGTACTGTTATTAATCATTTTCCTATTTCTAGATTTTTTCATTTATTTCTTATAAAGTTTTTTATTATAAAGTTAATTGTAATAAAAACTTTTTATTATAAAGATAATTTTATAATAAACATCTTTGTGTATAAATCTTTGGATTCTTTGTTTAGGATAGCTTTCCCAAGGTAGAATTATTGAGATAAGATTTAGGATTTTTGAGGTTTTTTTTTTTTTAAACATTAATTTCTAATCCCCCCTTGAGTATGTGAAAGTGCTCTTTTCAGCACGGGCACCCTTGTTAGCTTAATTCACCGGGATTTGGGGAATAAAATTGCCTAACTCGGTTTTTTAAACATCTTCCTGTTAGAGACACCCTCATTTATTAGACCCTTGGAGGACAAGACAGTAACCCGAGGTGAAACTGCGGTGTTACAGTGCATAGCTGGAGGGAGTCCTGCTCCTCGCCTCAATTGGACCAAAGATGATGGACCACTGCTGGTGACAGAACGGCACTTCTTTGCTGCAGCCAACCAGCTTCTCATTATTGTAGATGCTGGGCTAGAAGATGCTGGGAAATACACCTGCATTATGTCTAACACCCTTGGGACGGAACGTGGTCACATTTACCTAAATGTCATTACTTCCCCCAATTGTGACTCTTCCCAGAGTAGCATTGGGCATGAAGATGATGGCTGGACCACAGTTGGCATTGTCATCATTGTTGTGGTTTGCTGTGTTGTGGGCACCTCTTTGATCTGGGTCATTGTTATTTACCACATGAGAAGGAAAAATGAAGACTATAGTATCACAAACACAGGTGAGTGGTCCCCAGATGACACTATGTCTTGTCCTTTAATCAGTAATGCAATATAGAATTTATTGTAAAATATAAAAAACTAAAGAGCTTTGGTATTTTACCTGATATGTGTAGAAGAGTTTTTTTCTTTTAAAATGTCTGAATTGCTTGATAGAACCTCTCTGATGAACAATTTTAAGAATTTGTAAACCCTTCCAGAAAACTTTGCTCTTATAAACACATCACAGGTACACCTTCTTTCTTTAATGCCTAAGGTGCAGTTCCACTGTAGTTTCCCTGCAGGAAAGAGTGGGGCTGTCATGACTGAGATCAGTCTTTTATACGTCCCACTCTGCACTCCTGGGAGAAGAGGTCCAGCCAGGTAGATTATGGAAATGTAGCTATGGGTAAGATTTCAGCTTTTAGGCTTTATTTCTTTTGGTAATGCTTTAAAAAATGAAACATCAAGGAGAATTCTAGTGAGAAATAGTTTTAGGAAAGTACTAAGAGCTTTTAAGGTCCTAAGTAGATAACCATTTTTCTGGCCAGTATTATCAAAATGGAACATTCTTGTGAAGTAGTCTTATCTAACTATTTGAGAGTTACAGATGTCTCTTTTACAGAGGAGCTTAATCTGCCTGCAGACATTCCCAGCTACTTGTCTTCCCAAGGAACACTGTCTGAGCCACAGGAAGGCTACAGCAACTCTGAGGCAGGCAGTCATCAGCAACTTATGCCGCCTGCCAATGGATATATGCACAAAGGAGCTGATGGTAACAACTCTTTGTTGTATATGGTTATAATTTCAGTCTATCCTGTTGAACTCATTTTTTAGTGTATAGTTTTCCCCATTAACCTGAAGTAATATTTTAAAGTAAGATAACTCAGTGAAAGCATTTGACTCCATGCAGTGAATGAAAATTAACCAAAGTCTTGAATAGAAAATCATCTGACACAAAGGAGAAACAAATTGTCCTTAAACAAGGGATTGGACTACAAGGCAGAGGCTCCCAAACCATGGTATTATTATAGGAAACGGATGCAGTAGAAACTTTTTCCAAGAGTCTCTCCTTTTGAGGCATAAGCATCCTTCAGACCATACTCAAGGGAAGTTTGTTTCTCCTGCTGACAGATACTCACTAAAGTTTGAAGGGCAGTGATGGTTCTCAGCATATACTGAAGAACATCAGGAACATCATGTAAGATATTTCCTAGGTAAATGGTGCTGACTTCTCCGCACTCACCTGTCTTCCCCCCTCTACCTTTCCCACACTATCACTCCCACAGTGAATGACAAAACACAGAGAGGTGAAGTCAGAGATAGGAGAATTGGATTTAAGTCCTAGTTCTTCCTCTTTTCAGCTCTGTGACCATGAACCAAGCTACTTAAGGTCCGAGCTTTAGTTTCATCATTTTTAAAATAAGTAAACAATTCTTCATAAAGTACTTTACTGAAGATTTTTATGGATTCTCTCAGCAAATCATATGGAAGTACCACACATATGAAAGGTTTATACCATTTTTTCAGAGATTTATAGGTTGGGTGTCAACAGAGCTTCTCTAACTGATAAATTGAATTAATTATTTTTAAATTTTTTTATTGTACTTTAGATGAACGTTTATAGAATAAATAGTTTCTCATTAAACAGTACACATATTGTTTTATGACATTGGTTAACAACCCCATGACATGTCACCACTCTCCCTTCTCGACCTTGGGTTCCCTATTACCAGCTTTCCTGTCCCCTCTTGCCTTCTAGTCCTTGTCGCTGGGCTCTTGTGCCCCATTAGTCTCGTTTTGTTTAATGGGGCTGTCTGATCTTTGGCTGAAGGGTGAACCTCGGGACTGGCTTCATTACTGAGCTAAAAGGGTGTCTGGGGGTGATAAATTGAATTTTATGTTGGCTTTTCATGGAAAGGTTATTTCTAACTTTTAAAAGAATAATTACATGTCTCTACCGTGTTCAGCGCACATACCAGTCCAGGGAACTCATTATTATACCTTTACTTCTGTCAGATGCACATTTGTCAGGCAAGACTCTTGGCTGTCAGAGACTTTATCTCTAGCAGCACTTTTAGCAATTGGTGTTGCCTCATCTCTTGACCCATGAAAGTTACATGGGCTTTTGTGAAGTGAAGTTGTCATAACTCCTTGTTCTCTTCTTTAGTTTGCACAAGCCAAAAATGTGGCCTGACCACAATGCCAGCCTTATCCTGGTTCCCTTGATTTGAGCATGACCCTATGCAGGCACGACAGAGGTAGTTTAATGCAGTATATAAGAACCTGGGCTTTGGAGCCAGAGTGTCTGGGTTCAAATTTTAGCTCCTCACTCTGGAAATACGACTTTGAGCAAGATACTTAACTTCTCAGTGCCATTTGTAAAACAGAAATGTCATAAGGTTTAAATGAGTTAATTTACAGAAAGACCTTGAAACTTCGCCTGGTTTATAAAGTAAGCACTCAGTAAATGCTAGCTATGATGATGATGATGACAGCTGTTGAAGAAAATTGATGATTGGCAAAGCTAATTCCTTAACTGAAAAATGTTGGGGTTCTTTCTCATATTGTCATTAGGTGGCCCTGGTACCCGGGTGATCTGCTCAGATTGTTACGACAATGCCAACATCTACTCCAGGACACGAGAATACTGTCCGTATGCCTACATCACTGAGGAGGATGTTCTGGATCAGACACTGTCCAGACTCATGGTCCAGATGCCCAAAGAGACATATTTGGCACATCCTCCACAAGATGCCACTACCCTGGAGAGCCTGATAGCATCAGCAAACAGAGAGTTGTCTGCCTTTCCCACCAACCATGAGAGGATAAACGAGAAGAAACTTCTCTCCACACAGCTGAGCAGTGGTAAGGGTGCAGTGGTTTTTGTTTTGTTTTCACTTTTACCAAATTGATTTTCCCTCTCTCATATAGGTAGCACTGTCATTTGGCAGGAAGCAAAACAAGTTGATCTAATGAAGTTAACTGGCTGCTGCTAATTGGTATAACCTAGAGCCCGAGATTTTTAGATAATGGAGTTGCAAAGAAGTCTGCCCTTACAGGGTCAAAACAGCTATTATTGGGGTAACAAGATCACACTACTGCAAGTTCAGAGGCCATACAGAAAAAGGTTTAAAAAGTGTTTCATATAGATGTTAGTGAGTTTTCTTTCACCTATATTTAAATAATGGAGAGTTGTAATGTCAAGAATATAATTTAAGCTTAATTTGATGAAGGTTTTTACTGAGAAGATTGAAAAATGTTTGCTGTTCTGTGAGGTAAATATTGAATGTCAGTATCACTTGGCAGATGGTTGCTTTCTCCTCTGAGGTATGATCAGGGCCATGAGTGGGAAAGCAGTTTTGTGGTAGTGTCTTCTGTCCTCCATGTCCCAAGAAAAGAAATACTTAATTGTACAGATTGAACATTTGATAATAACTTGAAACAAACTCTTTATAGACTATGCAGGGTAGTACTGAGCATTTCTTCCAGGCTACCCAGGTTTTGCATCAGCTCTCACCTTCCTGTTGGCCTGAAATGGAAGAGCACTGGGAGTAGGGTAGGGGATGAGAACTGCAGGTTCACCGAGGAAGGCAAATATCTAGTGGTGCTTCCAGGGGTGGTGCTTCCAGGGATGGTTCCGGCAGGGGTAAATGATCTAACATGGGACTTAAGATGTGCTCTGTTCTTAGTTTAAGAGACCAACTCTAAACACTGTTAAAGAGGGTATACCCATTGCCGTCAAGTCAGTTCCGACTCATAGCAACCCTGTAGGTCAGAGTAGAACTGGCCCGTAGGGTTTCCCAGGAGCAGCTGGTGGATTCGAATTGCCAGCCTTTTGATTAGCAGCCAAATGCTTAACCACTGCACCACCATGGCCCCAAAAAGGGTTTGTAGGTCAGAAAACTACTGTTGAAGTTAGTCTCTTGTCTTTACATTCAGTATCTATGAAAGAAATATACCAACACTAAATCCATTTTCCCATATTCTAGGAGACTTATACAAATAAAAGGCTTTAAGTAGAACCAGAAAAATACAGTGCATCTTCTTCCAGTCTTGGGGATGTCTTACTTTTTAATCTGGTCGGTAGGTGAGGACTCAGTACATGAAAGCGTTGGCCTATTGCCCATTCCTTACCTAGGGTCCTCTAGCTCCTTGCTACTCCAAGTGTGGTCCACAGACTATCAGCACCAGCTTGTTAGAAATACATTATCTTGGGTTCCACCCCAGATCTAGTGAATTAGAGTCTACATGTTAACAAGACCTGCATTTATATGTACATTAAAGCTTGAGAAACATTGTTCTCTTTTTTTAATTTTTCTGAGTGCTTGTTACCAGAGTATTTGGTTCTTTTTCCAAAATGCAGTTAATATGGCTTTCAGTCAGTGATTTTTGGGACAGAGAGCTCACCACTGCAGTAAATAAGGAAAATGAGAAATGTATATTTTTGAATCCAAAGTACAGATAATTTGATTTGAAATAACTGTTTTTTGGTTGTTATTTTGTTAGAATTACTGGCATGCTAGAAGTTAGAGGTGAGTGGTTATATGTTTTTCGGGCAGCTTTTAAACATACTTAAAAATTATTTAAAGATGTAATGGCTGCACTAAATGATTTTTATCTATGTATGCTGCAACTAAGGAGCTCGGGTGGCACAGTGGTTAAGTGCTCGGCTGCTAACTGAAATGTTGGTGGTTCAAACCCACCAGCTGCTCCTCGGGAGAAAGATGTGGCAGTCTGTTTCCATAAAGATTATATAGCCTTGGAAATCCTATGGGGCAGTTCTACTCTGTCCTATAGGGTCACTGTAAGTTGGAATCCATTTGGCAACAGTGAGTTTTTGATGCAGCTTTCCATTATAATATTGATGTCATCTGATGCCAGTTTTTAATTTGTGTGAGTTCTGGCGCAGTTGTTAAGCACTTGGCTGCTAACTGAAGGATTTGTGATTTGAACCCACCAGCTGCTCCATGGGAGAAAGATGTGGCAGTCTACTTCTGTAAAGATTTACAGCTTAGGAAACCCTATGGGACGGTTCTACTCTGTCCTATAGGGTCACTATGACTTGGAATAGATCAACAGCAGTGGGTTTTTTGTTGTCATTAAGTCTCCTTTAGTCTGTTTCCACATGCCAAAGGAGTTTTATTTTAAAATTTCTGTAGCAGCAGAATCACTAAGGTAATAGGTAAAAGTATATGACATATATCATATTCTCAGTAAATAATTCATTAAATATATTGAGTAGAAGGATTTGAAAAGAATGGTTCCAGTTTTTATTTTTATTTTTTTTAGTTGTGGCTAAGAAGATGGCAAGTGTACATTTGATCTCAGTGTCCTTATTCATGAATACTGCACATATTTCTTTCAGGATTTGGTTAAAACAAAATTAAATCTTAGAAAATTAATTTTTAACTTCCAGTCACCACTGATAATTCTTGTCTTTGCTTCTCAGAAACATTGCAGCGGCCCTTGTGGAATATAAACAAAGAACTAGGCCTGCCTCATCCTCCCTTTTCCCAGCAGCCAGTCCTCGAGTCACCACAACTCCTCCGAAATGAGGGCCTGGCAGAGAATGACACAGACTGTCCCACTTCCCCTATGCCCTGCCGCAGGTTACATGACCACGCTTTTGATTTTAGTAGGACTCGGAACATTCAAGATGGTAGTGAGGGTACATGAAACTCACTCCAGGATGAAATCTGGGCAGAGACTCAAATCAGTTAATTTTGTATTTACTACCTCAGAGTTCAGAAGAAACCCCAAAGTCAGCATTTGCTTTACTCTTTGTTTACAATTACATCCGATCACAGCAAGGTGGGCCAGGCACTTGTTTGGGTTTATACCTGGCGAAGAAAGGGTAATGGCTGACAGAAATGGGTGCATCTAACCAAAAATGTGCGGCACTGGCAGAGAAAGATATGGGGCAAATGTGCTTCCTAAAGGTTCCATGGGGATGTGCCCAGGTGTGCATTGCCTTTCAGAAGAGTCTCATTGCTGCTTAACATGCTGGATTGTCTCAATCCTCAGAGTGATCCCGGGAAAATATCACTGTTCTACTTTGTCTTCCAAGGAACAAAAATGACTGGCGCCCTCTGGGAAGTGTGCCTGGGATTCTTCAGTGGTTTTAAGCATATAACTGAGACTGGGGCTTTGATATTCAAGGTCTTCAGCAAGAATCCCAGGCTTGACTAACTGGTACCAGGTCATGGGGTTTTGTATTCTTGTGATTCCCTTTTTTTTTTTTTTTTGTCCCTACCACCCAGGAGTCTCATTGTAAATATATTTGCATTTATAAATAATTTTTGTATTCATTGACCATATGTGTTGGCTGCAATGTAAATATTTTTTGATACGCCAAAAGTATATAATATAATATCCAGTTATGTTATTGACAGCAGCTTCTCCAGTCATGGACAGGTTTTGTATAACTTGGTTTAGTGAGATCTAAAGACTTCGTTTAAAGTTTTAAAAACTTATTTGTTAAGAAGTGTATGTATAGAGGCAAGGTAACTAGTGATGGATACACACCAACACAGTCTTGGTGTAATTAACCACTTTCTTCATTCTTAAAGGTTCATACATCTAATCATTTACCATCTGTTTACAAAAGCCAGCTGATAACTACCTTACCAGTGTGAAAAGTCTTGCTCCTTCCAAAGACCACAGTCCTGGCATAGCCGTGCACATAGATAGAGGAAAAATTGTTTGGGGAAAATCTTCTTTCAAGAAAGTACTTGGTTGGCAAGAAAACCAAAGATTGCTTCTTTTATGTGTCTGTGTTATTTTTAATATCGCTTTTACCAAGGCACAATATATCTTAAGAAGATATACTTAAGAAGGGAGGAGTGCTTTTGGGAGTAGAAAGAAGGTGGAGGTGCAGAGATGCCTATACTATGAAGTTTTGGGGTGGCCCTTTGTTTTATACAAGTGATGATTTAAGCAAAAATTTTTTTTCTTAAATTTCTAATAGCAAAAAGCTTTATGTAAACAAAGGATTTAACACTCTAATGGAGTATAATGGACTAAAGTTCTTTGTGGTATCAGATTCTGTCCTCTTAATCTAGTAAGTACTAGTTACTCATAATGTCAGTCACTTAAATAAAAATTTCTAAGTCTTTGTACATTTCAAGGATTGTCAACTCACATTATTTCTTAGCTTTCTGCTGGAAAGTTTAGCTGAATTTCATATTAGTTTTCAATCCTAAATTTCTCTCTCCTATAGGCAGCAGCCCTTCTTTAGCTGTTAAATAGCACCACGCGTTTTCTTCTTCCTTTGTAAACTGTCATCCCCTGTTCATTTACACTTTGAACTTCTTCTTAAATATCACTTTCAGTATCTGTTTTTCTGTGCCTTCAACCTGTGATCCCTCTCCTTGTTTACTGGGTTATAATTTAATTTGTACTGGACTTTGGTGTCAAGATACCTGGTGGTTCAGTTCCTGTTTCTGTTAGTTACTAGCTGTGTAATCAAGAGCAAGTCCCTTTATTTCTCTAGGCCTCAATTTTCTCATGAAATGAGGGCATTTTACTAGATGCTCTAAAGCCCTTTCCAGCTGTAACATTCTTTGAATCTGTGGTCCCTCCAGGAACCAGGAGGATTATGATATTCCAATAAAAAGCTGCTTCCATGAAATGCTTGTTAGAGTAGAACAGGAGTGATGCTGCTTGCTCTGACTTGAGCCAAATTTATTTCCTCTATAGCAGGAATAATGGTATAGCAAATACTTGTGAGGAGAAAAAAATGTTCTGCTTTTAAACAGCATCAGTACAAATAAAGAACAACCTTGACAAGATTGAAAGCCACCCATTGCTGTCTGGAACAGCAGGTCGGAATACTAGTGGTGTAGCACGCCAGTGTATCAGATCTCCTGAGGTGTGCTGCACTGATTTGTGCTGATAGTGAATTGCTGAAGTTTGTGACTCGCTTACCTTCTAAGGTATTCAGGGTTATCCCTGTATTTACAGCATTCTCACTCTCAAATTCTGATAGACTTTCTTGAGTGAAAGAGGTGGAGTGAGAGCTCAGCTTTGGGAGATTGTGCAAGTGAGCGTCAGCTGTCACTGGTGATAAGGCAGAGAACAGGCTGCGGACCAGTGAGTTGATACCATGCTTTAGCAGGGCTACTTCTACTGCCCATGGTGTCAGAGCTTGGTCTCTTGAAGGGTCACATGGTTCTCCATCATGTCAACTCAGATTGTTGAGATATCATCCCAGGTATTCCAGCTTTCTTAAATAACTAGCCAGGACTGTGTGTGGATGTAAATAGCCTATCGCTGGTCTTAAAAAGATCAGTTTAATAAATACTAAGCTTAGGAAAAGGAATTCCTGAAACTTTTCGTTATTGCGTATATTTTTGACCAAGCAGTGATTTAGCCCCCTAATATAAACAGGATTAGCGAGTGGCTTATTTTTCCCTAGCAGTGTAATGTCTGTCTAATGCCAGCTTAACAAGGGATGTTGCAAAGCAAGGCAGATTGAAAGTCTGAGAGAAATACCCCCTGTTCCCACCCAGTTACCATTTCATTTCAATAATGATACATAAATTCTCTTAATTTGTTGTGTCCCTTTTAGTCTGTTCTCCAAGTCTACCTGGAATAAGAAATTACATTTTCCTTGAATTCGAGACCTAATATTAGCACAAGATCTACACCTAAGCCTTGGCTTTCTGTCATTCAGCAACTTCCAAAGTGCTTTCCCTAGTATGCAAGCTACTCTCTAGAAGAGGAAATATCAGAAACTCGCCCAGTGTGCAGTACCCCTAGAGTGTCACCTCAGAATGCTTTCAGTGTGTGTTTTTCTGTAAGATAACATGATCATGTTGTCTTCACATTGCCTGTTAGGAGGATGTAAAAGGAACATTAAGATGTCAAAAAAATCTAGACTCTGTTATCCATTTTCCTAGAAATGGGAGATGCGATACAAGTCTTTTAATTGCTTAAAAGGTTGTCATAATGAAATAAGGGTTAGATTCACTCTTTTTTTCCCCAGAGGATAGAGCTCGTATCAGTGGGGTAGCAGTTAGAGGGAAGCAGAGTATTCACTTTCTAATAATCTCAGTATAAACTAACTCTTTAACAATTAGATTTGTCTGATGATTAGAATAGCCTGCCTTGAAAGTTAGTGAGCTCCCCCTCATAGGAAAGGTACCTGCAGAAGCTAAGTAACCATCTGTAATAGCATTGAAGAAATTTCTGCATTTTGGGTATATGGACAAAATGACTTTGAAGGTCTCTTTCAATTTTATCATTGGAAATTCCCACAAGTAATGTAACAGTCTTCAGACTTCACCCTTTAAAATCCTTGATATTTAGTATAGAGCACTTCAGAAATTTTTTTTTTTTTAACTAAAGAATTTTGGTCTTCGGTTGACAAAAGAGGCCTGACTTCCTGTGTTAATGGCTGAAAATATGAAACCGGGTTTATTCCTTCTGGGGAAATCTACAACTAGTTACGAACACAAATGACATTATCATAATAAAAAACGAAAAGCCTAACGTGTTACAACTCTCCCTTTACTCTCTGATCCGTTTTTATTCCTGTTTCTTTTTATTAGTGGGAGCCTATTTGGAGTGGACTTGGAATTGTTATGATCAGTTTAATACCTAGTTTTTAACCCAAGTGTATTATGGCCTTTTTTGGTCTTTAATACCAGAAGGGTAACAGAGCAACAGAGATAAATTTGTTGTCATTTTATGCTGTGTCTTCCCTTTCATATTTTGCTTCTTGATGCAGATTATAGAGGTAATTGTAAGACAATTGGATCTTAAAAGGTTGAGCTAAGATTTTTTTGTCAGCCTGCAAGTAATGCTTTATTTCTCTATTACGTGGTCTCTTTCCCAGTTCAGCTTGACAGATGTTTTTCCCTGCTATTTCTTCTACCTTACAACTTTTTTGGTTTTAGTACAGTCTAAACCAACATCAGTTAACATTAATTTTATTTCTTTATTTTTTTGACAACTGCCTAGTTTGTTGACAAAAATAAGTTCTGAATTAGGAGATGTATTACAAGCTACTTTTAACAACACCTGAAAGCCCATGAACTCTACAGGGTAGTAAAGGGTGTGGGTAGTAAGGTGTGTCTCTGTGTGTATGTTTTAAGAGTAAGATTTGGATGCACTCCCTCAAGGTTTTGTGTTGATTGTTTCTTAGCAGTCCTGTTAGTCTCCGCCAAGGGATGACAGTCGAGAAATAGCTTGATGGATGCCTGTTTTCAGATGTAAGGAGTGAAATGGTCTTTTCCAAATGGTGATTGTCTTGAAAGAGAAATTTACCATCAGGCGGTGAAATGCTCTTAGAATATATCTTGGCATAATGACATTGTAATCTGTAGAGAGACTTGTTTCTATCCTCTACCTTCCCTCGTTCTCCCTTCTTTTTTCTCCTATCAAAGGATGTTAGTCTGAGCCTTTCTGGTACTAGATGTACTTAAAGAGACATATAAGCCAAGTTGTTGTTCAGTGTGACCCTTTCCTAGTATCTATATTTTCTCACACATAAGAATGTGTATTTTATAGAGCATGTGTTTGTCTACTTGTTTTTGTCTACTGTAATATGTCTCCAATAAAGCTAAAATACAGTATGATTTTCTGGTCTTCTCTAGCTTAAAGTAGAGGAGTGAAACTGTGTATCTCTAATTTTGTGATCCTGTTGAGGGCGTCTCCAAATAACTGTATACATTACTACTGGGAAGAGTTGCTCTTCTCTAGTTCCTGCCATGTTAAGAGGCACATGCTGCCTGGAGCCTGCCACTGGCCACGCCCTGCAGATGTGAGCTGCTCCAGGACAGGCGCTTTGTGCTCTTCTACTTCCTCCCTCGTGGTGTCCTCTGGGGTGCTAGACATCTGGCAGGTGCAGAAAACAAACACACTAAATGGTTCGTTAGAAAATAAGAGTGCTTTCTACACAGGGAAGAATTTGAAGAGAACATTTTCTAATCTAAGATTTGGTAAATCTTTAGCAGAATATTTGAAGAATGTCACTATTCCAGTTAATTTAGGCACTGCCTCTTTTTAAGGACCATTTATTTTGAGACTCAATTCCTTGAAGGCTGGGCTCGTAACACTGACCCCACTGTGTACTTCTGTTCCACTGTACATTGTTATTCTTGATGAGGCACTTCCCATATACATTATCTCATTTGAGTTTCAACATTTTGAGGATGTAGATTGGGGCAGACTTTTTGTTAACTAAAGAAACTGGTATGATGAGATTATCACCCAATGTCAAAAAGCTTTTAGAGAATAAAGC